ATTTTCCTTAAAGTGACACACTCACTTCATTCTTTTCAAGAAAAATGTCGGCCAAATTCTCAAGTCTGAAAAAAACTATAATTTGTCAGTTCTTTTCAAGTAAAAATTACATTCCTAGGAAAAAAACAGCTGATTTGGCTCACAACTCAAACAACTGCACACATACATGCTTGCCCTGTAGGCAAGCAGTATACTTCAGTATTTAGTGGAAACATTTTACACATACATTCCATTTCAGTAGACAGAGTATCAAAAAAGTGTGTATGCAAGAGTCAAGACTGAATAATAATTTTACTATTTCAAAGACATTCATAAGAGCAACAGGCCTGTTTGTACTACAAACATGTGGCATAAGGAAACCACTGCCTTAACTCATGTGAGGGCACCAGCAGTTTTGACCACCACTGCTTTCGTACCGTATCACGGCAAATGTCAACACATTGAAAAAGGCATATAATGTCATGGTCTAATGATGAAAATATTAATAGTTGTGACCTCCCAGACCCCACTAAAAGGATCTCAGGGTCATCCAGGGATCCACAGAATACACTTCGAGAACCACTGATCTACATGATCTGAAGTCGGGGGAAAGGTCTCCTGCCCTGGCTTGAGCAATTCTCCTTCATCCTGGGGCTTAGAGCTTTGGGAGGGAGGAAGCTAGCTTTGGAGGACAGCAGGTGGTGGTGGAGGGGGCTCTCTCTTTGTAGTCACTGTTCAACCAAGGCCCAAAGGCTGTTCACCCCATGTGAGTGGCACATACCCAGCCAACGACCGACTGGATCACCCCAGGAATGTTGTACTCCTGCAGGCGAAACAGGTCCGAGGGCTCACAGTCCACAGTGAAGCTGTTGGTGTCGTTGTTGTACTCCACGGGGCAAACGAAGCATCTGTACCCGGACATCACATAGGACAGCTGAGGAGGAAGAGCAGACAGGCAAGGAGACAAGTTCCAGCCATGCAGCCTGGACGGCAGATGCCTGGTTTGGCCGCGTTCCTCACAGTGCCTAGCACCCCACTAACTGCGAGCTTTGCGCTGAATCAGAGGTTCAGGTTTCATCACACATGTATTGTACCTGAATTTTTTTTAAAAAAGGCTCACTGCCCACTGGGGTCTCACACAGAGGCACACAAACACCCAGGCCTGAAAGAATCCAGGAAAGACCTGCACGAATTTTAGCAAAGAACTACACGAAGGGCCAGGTGTGGTGATTCACACCTGTAATCCCAGCACTTTGGGAGGCCGAGGTGGGAGGATCACTTTAGGCCAGGAGACCAGTCTGAACAACATAACGAGATCCCATTACTACAAAAAATTTTTTTAAAAATACAAAAATTAGCAGAGTGTGATAGCCCCAACTATTTGGGAGGCTAAGGCAGGAGGATAGCTTGGGCCCAGGAGTTTGAGGTTGCAGTGAGCTATGATGATGCCACTGCACTCTAGGCTGGGCAACAGAGTGAAACCCTGTCTCAAAAACAAAAGCAAACAAAAAAAAAGAACTATGAGAAGATCCTCCACCATCTGGGGAGCTATGGTCCACTTTCCTCATATCTCTTAACTTGGAGATAACCAGAGGCAGGCCATGGGAGTGGTGCCTCGAGAGGCAGACACCAGGAAGAAGAAGGCTAGAGAGCAACAGGGCTGGGGGGTGGGGAGGGGGAGCACCGAGGGGCAGCCAGACAGCACTGAAGAAGGGAGACTGGCCGAGGGTCTGAGCCAAGACTGGTGCTCTCCAAAGGGCAGGAAGGTCGTCCACTTCAGGGCAGGGCACACGCACGAGAAAATCTGGGCTGGAGTGGCACATCTCGCGTGCAAGGTGCACACAGCCCTGCTCTTCAGCTGTCAAAACCCTGGTTGAAAACTAATGAGTAAAGGACAGCTGGTGGCTGCCTTTACTCAAGCAAGGTCAGTATTTTCAGCAGGATGGAGGCCCTGGCCTCGGGAGACACTCTCTAGCTCTAGACAGGCCTTGGAACATAGGGTGAAGCCTATGTCTACTCCCCCAACTCCCACCCTCCCAGCCAGGGGCCACCACCTACCAGAAGGCCAAACACCACAGTGGCAAAAAAGCCCCCAATGAAGCCTTCCCAAGTCTTCTTCGGGGAGAGCTGTGGACAGAGAACAAGTTCTTAGCAACAGGTGTTTCAATAACTCCAGCTTTGGGAACCATGATTACTTGTTAAAAACCTTTCTATCATAAAACCCCCATCCTGTTAACTGTGTCACCTTCTAAAAAATGCCCTCAAATATAGTTTCTTTGTTCCCTACCTTACACCTTTCTTTCAGTCTCCTTTCTGTTTCAGTCATTCAAATATTTTTATTATAAAAACCATAGACTATAGAGTAAATGACAACAACACTCAAATCCAGATCAAAGCCCCAAAAGTGTGCCTATATAGTTCGTAAAAATATTTTATTAGCGCTCTCTTTTTTTTTTTAATGAGTTTTCAATGTTTTCCTTTGGTCTTTGTCTTAAAATCAGTTAATTGCCGGGATGACATGAAGACATGGCCACAATACACACAGCTAGATTTCCTCTCTGTGCCCAGCCGACCTGCTCGTATTGAAAGCACCATCCTCCCGTCACGGTGATATTTCATGTTGGGATAACCTATTTACCTTGATGAGTGGAGTCCGACCAAAGAAAAAGCCAAACATATAGGCCATGATGTCATTACAGATCACGCAAGAAATGGGGACAATGAACCTGGTAAAGAAACCAAAGTAAAGATCAAGTCTACCGAGATGATAGTGCCCCAGAAGTCTGCTAAATAATGCCACTCGCAAATTCAGTACCAAAATAACACATAAATTACTATACTTGTCACTGTTAAGGAATAAGTTAAAAAGAAAGAAAATACCAAAAAGCCACACCTCATACCTGGCATATTCAAACGTTTACTGAATGACTACTGAGGCATTCTATAAAATGTCATTGGGTCTTTTTTGATGATAAAGTAATATATGTATATACACAATATAAATTCAAATTGTAAAAGAAATTAAAAAATAAGTTTTCCTTCTTTCCCCATCCCTGTCTCCCTTCCCAAAGACAACCACTTTTAATCATTTCTAATTTTTCTTCCTTCTAGTAGTTACCTCCACAACTCTAAATAATACATTGTATGTCTATTGTCTATTTCATAATTTACTTACCTTTTTACTGCTTATTGCCAGCTCTTGTGAGCCCTACCTTTCCCTAGGACAACACTGAGCGCAAACCCCGACACACACAGCTAGATTTCTTCACCGCCCCTCCCCCACCACAAGAGAGGCAGTGGTTTCCACACTTGCACCATCTCTATCCTCTCCTCACTCTCTGCTGACACTTTTTAAATAATTCTCCTATTACAGTTTAGCATAGTACTGTACACATAAACCTCTATTTCCTGGCCTATCAACTGCAGGATTTTCTGACTTCCTGTTTGGTAAGGGAGAAAATCAGAGCATTGGTACCCTTCTTACTCCATTCGCCTCCCAGCCCCCACAACATGATTTACGCTGGCATATAGTCTCTGCTCTGTAACTATAATTAAGTCTTCTAGGTTGACTCTGAAAACCAACAATTATGGAGATTTTAATATTATTCACTGTAGCACTAAGTGGTATGTCTGGCTTTGAAGATGAGAACTTAGCAGATGCCACTCTTACGAAATACCTTAAAAAGAAAACAACAAAAAAAAACACTGGAAGAGGAGTTACTTGCCTCCCCAGGCCATTGTAATTGTTTTAAATGTAATAATACCACAGGTCATGTAAGCTAGTCTTGGTTCTAAGCACTTTACACATATTTATTAATCTACTCCTCAGGAGGTGGGTTTTGCTGTATCCTACCTCTGAGATCTGGAAGCAAAGGCACAATCTGGATCTTAATCCCAGTACTTGAGAACCTCTCTCTCTCTCTCATGTACACCGGATACGCCTCTCCCTTCTCGCTAAGAGCATCCAGCGTCTTCAATTGGCCTGCTGATTCCTATCAACGCTGACAGATTTCCTGTTGAAACCACTGCATTTCTGGAATAAAATCTACTAAGTACTAGCATATTATTCTTTTGACGCATTGTCAGATTCTATTTGCTAATATTTTATTTAGAATGGTTTATATATAATCATAAAAGAAACTGGCTTATCATTCTTGTTTCTCCCTCCTCATTAGCTTTGGTACAAGGATTAGATAAAACTCAGCTGTTAACCCATCGGGGCCTGTTTCTTTTTCCAGGTGTGTAATCTTACATAATTTTCTTTTATACTTATTGATCTATTCAAGCATCCTTCTTCATGACTTTCAGTACACATTTTGTCAGAAAATCACAAATTATTTCCTCTGGGTTTTCAAATTTGTTGCCATACATGTTGCATTGTCTTTGAGTCTCTAAATATCCCTGTAGCTGCCAGTCTAGAACAGCGGTTCTCAGAGTGCGGGTCCTGTCCAGCAGCATCAGCATCACCTGGGAATGTACTAGAAATTCAAGTTCTCAGGCCCTACCCCAGATTGACTAAATCGGAAATTCAGGCATGGGATCCAGCAATCTGTAACTAGCCCTGCAGGGGATTCCTGATGTGGTTCAAGCTGAGAACCCCTGGCTTAGAAGGTAAGGCAGGGGCTCTCAGCCTTCCTGTTCATGAGAAACAGCCACAAAATAAAAGGGAAAATCTCCTCTGCCCCCAACCGCTCACCAGATCATTCCTTCAAACAAGTTGTGGATAACGAGATGTGACTGGGTTACAACAATCAGCAACGTTACGTGGGTCCAGCCAAACTGCAAAAGAAGAAAAATAAACTCTACCTATCAGTTTACCTTGAAAGTAACTTCAAAGACCAATCAATGTCAAGTAGAAAATCAATGAGAAACAGGAAGGAAGAATATCTGCTTTTGTATCTGACTTATTGGAAGTGAAAAGGTATAGAACAGGCTTCTGGGAGTAACACTGTGTGGGCTCCCCCACCCCAGCTAAGAGTCCCCACCAAAAGTAGGGCCCACTAGTGAGTGAGCCCTTCCTGCTCTGAGAGCACTTTCTTAGTATCTTTTGGGTGCTTGGGGCACTCAGAGAGGCGGTGTTCTCAAGGTGAGGCAGGGAATGATTGGCAGCACACAATGTACCAGACGGGCTATCTGTGGGCAGTGTCTGAAGCTTCAGCTTGAGCCTTACCTGGAGCCCACCTTCAAGGCCCTAGTGGGGAGACTGCCTATGCCATAAGTTAAGCAACAGCGACGGGCTCTAGGTCGGTGTAGAGCTGACAACCTACATGGGCACTCTTCTTTCATGCTCTGGGTTCTGCATGCATACAGAACAGACTGCGTTCCAGAGTTCCGATTTATTACAAAAAGCATGAAAGGCCTGTTGAGTTTCTGCGGAACTTCATTTAAACTAAGAATTCTCAGCCACACACATACTCATTTCCCTTACCATGTAGAACTGCAGTCGATAATGCTTCTTGACCAGACTCAGTACAAACATGCAGAATCCTAGTTTGAAGAGAGAGAAGAAAGGACAAAATGAATTGCATGCACATTTATCTTTGTCCTAGTCATTTCCTTTAGCTGTGTTAAGTGGTTCTTTGGCTAATTTTTTCCCAGCAGTAACCAGTACACAATTTCAAAGCCCAGGGGAGGAAAACTAGTTATCTAGAGAAACAGTTATAAGAAAAAAATAACTCCTCCAAGATAATAAAAGGAAGGCAATACTTTATAATTCTGCAGACCACTCTCAATTCAGGACACTGTTCATGAGATAGGAATGTTTTGTTCCTAGAGCAGGGACCAGCAAACAATGGACAGGAAAGCAGCCTGTTTTTATAAATAAAGTTTTAATGGAGCCCAGTCATGGTCATTTGTTTACATATTGTCTATAGCTACTTTTGAGCTACAATAGCAGAACTGTGCACAGTCATGTACCAAATAACAACATTTTGATCAATAATAGACTACATATATGATGGTGGTCCACAAGATTATAATATCATATTTTTACTGAACCTTTTCTATGTTTAGATACATAAATACCGTTGTGTTATAATTGCCTAGAGTATTTAGTACAGTGACATGCTGTACAGGTTTGTAGACTAGCACCAAGAGGGAACACCATACAGCTGAAGTGTGTAGTAGGCTATACCATCTAGGTTGGTGTAAGTACACTCTATACTGTTCCTACAACAAAATTAACTAATGATGCATTTCTTAGAACACATCCTCATCATTAAGTGATGCATGACTGTTGTCGCAACAGAGACTCTATGGTCCCCAATGCCTAAAATATTTACTAACTGGAACTTTAAGAAAAAGTTTGCTAGGCTGGGCACCGTGGTTCATGCCTGTAATCTTAGTATTTTTGGAGGCCACGGCATGAGGATCTCTTGAGGCCAGGAGTTCAAGATGAGCCTGGGCAACATAGTGAGACCGTTTCCTCTACAAAAAATTAGAAAAGTTAGCCGGGCATGGTGTTACATGCCTGTCGTCCCAGCTACTCGGGAGGCTGAGGCAGAAGGATCGCTTGAGCCCAGGAGTGAGCTATGATGATGCCACCACTGCACTCTAGCCCAGTTCAGAGACGAGAGAGAGAGAGAGAGAGAGAGAGAGAGAGAGAGAGAGAGAGAGAGAGAGAGAAAGGGAGAGAAGTAAGAGAAAGGGAAAGGAAAAGTTTGCCAACCCCTGTCCTGGAGAATAGGGTTGGGGAAGGAGGGATCCACATGCTATAGGGTCAAGATCACCCTTGCATCTCTCTCACAGTGACCTAGATGGTGGCGAAAAATGTCTGCAGCCCCCTTCTCCAGGAAGGAAAGGAACCTTTACCCTTAAGTGTGCTAGGCCCCATGAACACAGTCCTGCCCAGAAATGAGTGTGTCACTGTTCCAGATCCCTGACCCCCTCCCGTGGGAGGCTGCTTTCAGGGTCTAAGGGATGCTCTCTGAAAATCCTCAACAGCAGCACACCCCCTGGCAGTAAGTCTTTATATTTTAATGGCCAGGTGTCATTCACAGAACTGTAGGGCTGTTCAAAAACTTGTTATCAGGCTGATCAAAAATAGGTCAGACAGAAATTAAGATCAGAACAAATTCCTCATGTGACTTAAACTGGCTTTGAAGGCAACTATGAAGATCACTAGCATTATTAGAATTGGTGTGTGGCCTTACCTGAATTCATGTTAATAAAACACTTTAGTCTTTGTGAAATTTTAATATACCTGATTTAATCCTCGCAATAATCGGGAAGGTGTAGCTCTAGATTACAAAAGAGCTGAGACTCAGAAAGATGACGTTCCTAGCCCTCTAAGGCAGCTGAGTCTTTTAAAGCCCAAGTCCAGTCAAATTTCCACCACGCTGCAGTGTCTCTCAAGGTGGTCTCCTAAGATGACTGCCCTGATGATGGTGAGATTCTAGGTGATCCTTGTTTTGGTCCCACTGCAGAGACTCTGCCAACAGGAGAGTCAGGACAGGATCATGCTGTGCTGTCCCCTCAACAGAGGCTGGAACACTGGGACAGGTGGCATAGAATGCAGTTCCCCACAACCGCACAAGCCCCTCAGACTCCGTTTGTCTTAGTAAAGAGCTGCCACAGCTCAATATAAGACAGAGCCGTCACCTCTGCTTCCCTGAATGGTCAGAGTTAATGCCACGAAACTTTAACCAAAAAATTCCTCGACGCCTATTTGATAGACATACAAAAATAATACAGACACAAGAACTGGTGAACCACTCAATCATGCGTACCTGTTAGATAGAGAGTAAAGGAAATGAAGCGGTGGTATTTACTGAGAATCCGCAAAGGCTCCTCTCTCTGGACCAAGGTGAAGAAGTAATCTGTCACTGTCTCACCATAGAAGAAATAGTTTACACACAGTAGAAAGTACCTGTAAACAAAGACAGGTCAGTGCCACGGGGAACACAGGTGGCCTCTCCTTTACAGTAAGGCAGTCGGACAGTGCTGAGAAGAGGACAGGGGGCGGCAGACCACCCCACCCTCAAGAACCCCAGGGCGGCTCACAGAGGGACAAGGAGACCATGGTTCCCTACTCTCTGGTGACACTGTAGGCGACAAATTTATCTAGAAACTAGTGGCAGCTTTCAACACTCTCCATTTATCACAAACTTGGGACTCGGTTTTTGTCCTTTGGTAGCATTTCCATATCTAACCTAAGGACACCTGAACCATAAGACCCTCCAAAATGCGCCCCATCCTGCCTCCCCAGTCTTATTTCCACTCTTCCCGACAGGAATCCCTCCACTCCTATCAACAGGGTTTATTCCAGCTTTGCCTCCTGTCTGCTTTGCTCCTGCCTTTTCCCTGCCTGGAACATTCTCTTTGCTTATCCATTTTTTCACTCATTGCTCAAATACCATTTTCTTCATAAAATCTTGCAAGACCTAACAAGGTAGGTGCCTCCCTGCATTTATTTCTATAGCAAGTAGTATTTGCTCATTTCACTAATTATGCTTCATTTCAGTGCATCTCCCTCTCTGAAGCCTGGCTCCGACACATAAGCCATTCACTAGCGTTAACTCTTCACTTATTACTATCTCTCTCTTCAGCTGGCCTTGTCTGAGAGGAGAAGCCACAGCTCACATCCCTTTGCAGCCTCCATGCTGCTTCCAAGTATGGGGCCATGCAGCCACCACTCCAAACCCAACAGGGGTCCTGAGATAGGGAAGAGAGTAGAGAGATTCTCTTTCCCGTTTTTTTTAAATTGTGAAGTTCAAAAACTCCCATATTGGGCTTATTTTCTGTTACATAGAAAAAACTTCCTTTGGAAAGTGATCACAGCCAGGGGTCAGGCCTCCTGAGTATGTTAACCAAATTCAAAACACTGCTTTCCAGCCATACACAGCCACAAAAGAGGCATATATCTTAACCCAGGTGGCAATCACAGGCCCACCTGGAGGCTGCGAGGCAGCATGTGCTCCTTCCCTCCTTGGGAAGGAGGTCCCCAACCTAAGTCTGAGCACATCAGCTCCCCTGACCACGACCAAGTTGTTGGGCACAAAACACTACTCTCCAGCCCACTGAGTGACCAATTCAATCCCTGTGTCCCTGCACAGTGAGGGGAGAAGGTCCATATTTGCCCTGGGTCTTGGCACTATGCAGTGCTCTGCTCAAATGTCACTACCTGAGAATACTATGGCCAGTAATGCTGAGTTTCAGATCAGGAGGGGGTTTCAAACATCATCTGCACTACAGGTTTTTATTTTGTTTTTGCTCTAAGGCAGCCAAGCCCTTTCCAAGGAGAAGGAGAAAGCAGAGTTTCTTGGAGGAGCCCAGATCCTGTGCATTCAGTCTCACTCCTGCCCACTCTGGCACCCAAGGCACGTCCGAGGAACTAGGGCTCCTACATTACAGTTTGGAAACCACTAAGTCTCAACCATCTGTTTCGGAGATGAGGAAACCAGGTTCCACGGATAGCAACACCAACACCAGAACCTGACAACTCCCAGACTACTCGAGTGGGATGCTGGCCTACTACAGCACGAAAAACACACTGATCTAGAAAAGCGAGGCTGTTGTGCAGAATCTAAGGAATCCAAATACCGAGACAAACACAGTCACAGAGCAGCTGATCTGGTTTCTTCTGAGGAAGATTCCAGACTCTTGTTAACTACTAAAGACTCCTCGAAGGCCAGTCACACAGTGTGACCTATGAAATACTCTGGTCTCAAAGATGCTGTGCAAGTCTGTGGCCATCACTCCACCTCCTACCCACCATCACTGTAAGTATCTGCCACAAAAGACATCCTCCAAATCCGTTAAGGATCCCTGTGGGGCCAGAGAGCTTACCAGCTGAGGGTCCTGAACCACGGCAAGTCATAGGAGTGGTAGACGTTGTAGCCAATCGTGATTATCTCATGGAAACACTTAATCTGAACACACATCACCTGTAAGACAGAAGAATTGGAACAGTGATTCCCAATTCTTTTTTTTTTTTTCAAAGAGATGGAGTCTCGCCATGTTGCCCAGGCTGGTCTCAAACTCCTGGGCTCAACTGATCCTCCCGCCTCAGCTTCCCAAAGTGCTGGGATTACAGGCATGAGCCACCACCATGCCTGGCTGATTACCCAACTCTTATGATCTCTGGAAACAGAAAACAATAGGTCATGAGCCTTCAAGATAAAACATCATATTGAGGAAAAATACCAAGCCCACAGTGGTTGTGCTTGCTGCCTCCCCCTCCCTCTCTCACAACATCCCACACTGCAGTGCAGCTCTTTATGTCGCAGACACAGACTCAATTTCTCACTCACAATAAAATACACACCCTGATGTTTCAATTAACTTTTTGTTCTTAAACCTCCCAGGACGCAACCAATCCTTTCCCCTTTTGACTTTGAATATAATACTTGAAAAGCTCCAACTGCTTGGCTCAGCATTCAGCTGCTGGTCACCTGACCCTGCCTGTGACAGTGAGAGGACAGAAAGCAGCTCTGTGGACTATGACTTCTTAATGGAAGATCTAAGCCCATGAGGGAGGCCCCAGGAAAACAAGAAACAAAACCAGGAGTCACACAAAGACACGGTCAAGGTCACAGTTCAATCCAACAGTTGGAATAATAAAGTCAATTTTTTTTTTTAACTTGTATGGAGCCATCGCACAGAAAATCTGATAACTATACAGACTCTATCAGCAGGAACCATGTATTTTGATGTGTGTGACTGTCTACGGTTGAATAAAGTCAATTTTTAAAATGAAGAAATATCTTAACCACAAACAACTGGCCTATGCCAATGACCCTCCGGTTGGCTGCTAAAAAATGAGAAGTCGCAGATATTCTATGGCAGAAGTGTTTTGAGGACCCCCATCAATTCCCACAACCAACCTGACACCTGGCACTTTACAACTGGTCCTGCAGGAAAACCTGAAGACAAAACTAAAATAGCCAGAAATGGCACTTACGATTATCATTAAAACCATTGGTCCCAGGTAAATGATGATGAAGAAAAATGCAATCATGGCCAAAGTCAGGATGCCTCTCACCCACCAGTTCTTCCATCTAGATCAGAGAGTAGAGGAAGGAGAAAACACCAGTTAGAAACCCAGAAAGAACCAAAGCACAAACCCAAGGGGTATGGATCTTCCTGAGATTCGAGGGCCCTGAGCTCAATCCTTTCCAAATTCACCTTGAGGGAGGCACCAGCCACAAGCTGGCAGGAGCAGGGCCACTTGTGCCAAGGCCTCACCTACGACCAAACTCAGCAGGTGCTCCAAAGCCTCCAGAAAAATACACCCAGCTCATGCCTTAAGGAAAGTATCAGGCAAAACAAAACAAAACCCCAAGGCAAAGGTAGTGCCCTCTGCTTCTGTATCTACTTGGATAGTTTCTATGGCCGACTGTATCTGAAGAAAAAACTATGCAAATTTTTCCTGCAGTAGGATTCTACATTGCACTGCCCCTCATCATTACGGGGATAACAAGCAATGATAACAACAGCTACTACAAATATGCACAAGGCACTTTCATAAGGACTTTACATACATTAACTCCTTCAACCCTCTCAACGCAACTAGCTTTCATAGACGAGGAATGGAGGCATAGGTCACACAGCTGGCCAGTGGTGACACTAGGATTTGGATCTAGGGGTCTGGCTGCAGAGTCCATGCCTTTAACCAGTGCATAATACGCCCTCTCAAGGGACAGCTGGGAGGAACACAGGAGAACACTTACATAATGCTTTGGGGTCTTACAATTTGTGTTTTTGATCTACCCATATAGCTGGTGTTAGAAGGACCAGATTCTCAAGGGCCAAAAGTTTTAACCCTAGATTTACCTGAGTCGAGATGTTTTCCAATTCTTCCCGGAGAATTTAAGGAATTGTTCACAATGGATGTATGTAGAGAGGGAAAACTACACTTTGAACTAGAAACTTGGACTCTTCAGTGAAAAGCAGCCTGCCCGTTACAAATCCAAACACGATTTCCTGTCATGCACTATGTCAGCTGACCTTGCCAGCCCCATGCCTCCTATTCACACTTTTCTTCTTCCTTGGAACTGTACTTCCCAGCCCAGCCTGGAGCACCCTTCTGGGGCAACATCTTCCCAGCCTGGGTTGCTCTCCTCTCCTGGCCACCCACGGTGCTCGCAGCCACTGCTCAGCACTCGATGGAGCCTAGGCAGGGCAGGGAGGCTGAGGCAAGCAAGCAGGCCTGCCCTGCACACGTAACAGAAGTGGGCTCACCTACAAGACCACAGGCTCGCTGAGGGCTCTGGGTCTTCCATGGCATGTGGAACTGTGCAAGGCCCCCCAACAAGCACCTTCATCATTAAGCCAGATTACCTTGAAGACAAGTTGGAAAGGGCTCTGTTGAGGACCTCCGGGGTATCATCTGCAGAGGCTGGCGGGGGAGCAGGTTCTGCCCGGCTCTCACTGTCCGATGCAGTCTCTCCATCTAACTTGGCTTCTGACTCTGACTCCTGCACAGCAGAAACACAGAAGAGGAAAAGGTCAAAAGTGCTGAGTAGAGTATTGAGAAGTGCATTCCTGTCATGGGAGATCTGTGGGAAAAGACTTCAAATGGGGCCTGAGGACCTGGCATAGTCAGGTGATGGAACAGATGGGACTAACAGCAATCTTGACCCTGTTCTGACACGTGCCAAGGTGACTGGCGCACTCTGCTGGAAGAGTGCATATGCGCCACACATGATCTGCTCAACTGGGCAGGATGGATCCAGAAAAAAGAAAAAAAGGCTCCTTTATATCCGTGAACACAAACAGAAGGCTATGATGGATTTAAGCAGGGGCTTATTGCTGAGCCTGCCAGGGGAGCCGGTGGCACTGACCAAGCTCTTAGGGGGAAGCTGGCCAGGTGTGTGGGCTATTGTCCCTATGGACCAGTTAATGCCAACATATCCCAAAGCCCAGAGTATTACTTCTGGACTTAAAAGAGCATTCTGTGAGGTCAGCCACGGTCGGTGTGGAAGACACGCCACACAGCTTACTCAAGTCAACGCCCGAGCCAGGACTGGTGCAGCTCTGTGCTTTCCCTGCCAGCAGACCCTGGGCATCGACAGACCTTGCAGTGTCATTCACACAGAGTTGCCGCCCCAGGCCCCAGCCATGAAGGAAACACCTACAGGAACTCACCCTTCTCCTAGCCAGGACAGGGGACCAGAGCCCTGCCAGCAACAAGCTCTGTACCCAGAGGACCAAGGAGCAAGCTATTCTGAATCCTAGGAACCACCCCACTACTCAGATCTTTTATTTCTTATGGGAATTTAGAATAGTTGCTGTGAGAAGAGGTGGAGAAGAAATCAAATCACTTAGAATTAGACAGAGTAACAACACTACCCAGTATTTGCATAGAGTGAAGAGCATTTCCCATGCCTGTAAGCTTGGGAGCAGACTGGGAGGAAGGGAAGAGCCCTGTTTACAAATAAGAAGCAGGGACTCTAGGAAGTTAAATGTCTGGCCCAATGTATCATATTAACCCACGTCTTCTGACTTCCCTGATGACTAAGAAACACATGGACTTGAGCACTGTTTCATGTTCACTAGCCATTTGGATATCTTCTTTTGTAAAGTATTTGTCAAATTACTGGCCAGTTTTTCTACTGAGTTTTCTGCCTTCCTTTTTATTGATTTGTAGGAGTTTTTAGGCGCTCCGTGTTAAGTATTTTGTGTCGCTAATATGTTCTCTCAGTCTACTCTAACCCTTACTCTCACCTCAGGCAAGGTTAGGCACCCCAGTCACTTGCTCTCCCAACACTCGAACCTTCTGCCTCTCAGCACTGGCCACAATGGGGACTTTTTTGTAACTGCCTCCCTGGCAGACCATAAGCTTCCTAAAGACGAGACTGTGACATCTTGTTCTCATTTATACCCCCACGCCTGGCACACAGCTAAATACTTATTAATGGTTAGAAGGATGGAGGCAGGAAGAGAAAAATTAATTCCAGGTGTGGTAAGGAGAAACCAAGCCCCTGCCCTCATGGAGACAGCTATTTCTGAATTAATTTACAACTGTGACAAGACCACAAAACAGAGGGTCTTAACTAGTGCAGTCTGCTGCTACAAAAGAGACAGCTGACTTTGGCACAGGGCCTATAAGATGGCCTTGTCACTGGGGTCCAGGACAAAGAACCACAGCTTCTGACGACAGGACACTGCTTCCCACTGCCGCAGCCAGACCAGGCGGCTCTGGACAAGTGGCCCAAGTGCCTCTGTCCCCTGGAGTCCTCACCTTACAAAGGGGGCCCAGGAGGGGCCCTCCTGACCTGTGAGCTCCCTTGAAGAGATATAATAAAATTCCCACTCAGCACTGTGTCCTACCCCACCACCCAGAGGCTGTGAAACACAGGAACAACTCCAAAATCGCCCCTCTCCAGTTAGCGTAAACAAAGAAGAGGCATTCAGAACAGCTTTCCCACCTTTATTTTAACACTGACACCCACACTCCATCGGCAGCCACCAGTAATACCAGGTAATGATGCTGCCTGATTGTGTGGGCCTGACACCCAAACCTTCAAATGCCAGGGGCTTCAAATGCCAGCACCCAGGTCCCACTGAGGCTCCCACAGAGGCCCTTCTGGAACATCTAATCTAGAAGCCACAGGGGTTGCCCTAGAGCACAGCAGGCGAGGGGGCCCTCACTCACACACACAGAAGGCCCAGTACAAGGTTATTTTTAATTTTTCCACCCTGTTGTCAAGGAGACTCACAAAGGCTGCTGGCTCCCCAGGCAGGCAAGGGCAGGAAGGGAACCCAGGCAGAGTCCTGCGGGGGGGGGGGGGGAGGCAGCTCCAGCTCTGTGTTGCGTCTCCCTGGACCCCCTAGGCGCTGTTAGGGACTGCCAGCCCGGCACTGCCCAGCACTGCGCCCTGCAGTGTCGCCGGGCCTGGCTCCTCTCCCTCCCTGTAGGAAGGGGTGAAGTGAAGAGAGGTATCCTGAGGCAGAAGACAGCAAGAGGAGGTAGAGAATTGTTATTAACACAAAGTTACAGTGACTATTTTTACCAAGGCTTCAGGGTGACTGGGATGAACAACCAAGAAATGATGTAAAAGCTCTGAAGGAACAAGCCTGAAAGAGATTCACTTTCCAGGTTTCTCCTGCCTTTAAGTGAGTGACTTCAGGTTCCTGGGGCCTCCTCCGGGCTACTAAAGAAGCATCCTCAGAGAAAAAGACCAGCCCCTGCATGGACCACCACTTTCTCACGGCTGACATGGGGCCGAGCAGGCAGAAAAGGTAAATCCTGGGAGAGGGAACAGCCTGGGAAGACAGATGGGCAGGGGGCATGTCAGCCAGCTCTCCAGTCCCTGCTCCCTGCCCCCCGGCGTGGATGTCACAGGGAGCAGGCTGGGGAGAACAGAAACCTAGGAGAACCTGGAGGCCTGCGGTTTTCTGGCTCCCCCAACCCCATGGGCAAAGGCCTCCTGCTTGGGGAAATGGCTGCTCATACCTGGGTAAAGGAAGCTGAGCGCTGGCGGCAGCTTCCATAGTGGGCAGGGACCTGGAACCAAAGTGCCTGCCCACAAGAATGGTGGCACATGCTGGACCAAGAATCACAGGTGCTGAACATGTTCATCTGTTTGCTTCTCTGGGGCGAGACAGGCAAATGTCAAGGAAAATTCTCTGCAGAAGGAGGCAGTTGCCAGTTCACGATAGCAGGACCCCAGGCTGGCTCTTACAGTCATGCCGCTCAGCACAGGCCTCCACATCTGGTCTTCACAGTGGGGAAAGGACTCCCTATCTCACACTGTTGTTGAGATGATCAAATGCAGCATCCATGAAAGTCTGTGACAACTATAAAGGGACTGCATAGCAACAGGCACTTGCTGCACTGGCTCCCCAACCTCCACCGCTCAGTAACCCGACCACACAGGACAGGAGCACGAGAACCCTCAACATCCACCCCAGGCGACCTGGGCACCCTTCCCAAGGAGGGTGGGGTGGAGGGAAGAACAGTGGCCTTCAGGCCTTGCTGGGGCCCGTGTGCTAATATTAATGTATCATCTGAGCTCAGCACCTGCCTGCCTTGCTTGCTCTTTTCACATGGGCAGCCCCAACTCAAATGTGTAAGGTGGCGTCTGACAAACAAAGCCCACCCATCAAAGCTGGAGTCCATGCTAGTGCTCTCTGAAGCAGGATGCATACAACACAACTGCTGAGGTGTGGGACGAAATATTAGAACTTATTTCTACTTACGTCATTCTTCCTTCCTTCCCCGTGTATGCTTTATAACAGACATATCAGTACATGTACACACCTTAGTATGTGTCAACTGGGGTGCTTGGTCCAAACATCATATACGTGGCAGACATGATTTGTCAGGGGCTGTGGGCTACCTGTTCACCACTGCACTAAGCAGTACCTGGAACGTAGCAGGTACCCATAGGCTGGCTGAACTAATTAATTCTACTTGACCTACCACGGACCAAAGTGTTCGGACAGCATTCACTCTCCTTCCAGCTCACATGCCTGACACATACCCTGCCTGCCCTGCAGTAGGACCAGACTAGACTCCATTCTTGCCTCCTTCCCTGGTGGGCAGCGGGTGGGAGGGCCCAGCTCCAGGACCAGCACAGTGCAGTGGGGAGAGGCTGCCTTGCCACTTCAGTCTCCTCTCTGCCCAGCTCCCAGGTACCCCCCTCCTTCCTTCCCTTTCAATTCCAATGGCCCAGAACAGAGACTGAGTGGGGCACACCTCTCAGATTCCCTCTCCACCACCGCCCATCCTCCTACAGTTCCTTAGCCACTTCCCAAGGGGGTTGTGGTGCTGGTGTAAACAGGAAACAAGAGTGTTGCTTTTAAAGGAAGGGCAAAAAAGCTCCTTCTGAGACTCCCTTCCACTGGGTTTACTTAGACCTTCTAGGGAAAGGCAGAAGCACTTAGGATGATGGACACATGAAGCATCCTGGGCACCAAAGGCTCAGTAAGAGCAGTCAGCATTTTTGGAGAAACTCATGCTCAAAAAGCTTCCCCTGCCAGCCTTCCAGGGCCCCTTCTAGCCTCCCACAACTGCCCAGAAGTCTCCCCGCACCCAGCACTGACCTGGGGCACAGAACAGCACAGAAGCCTTCCTTCAACAGAACCAAGAGAAAGCAGCAAGGAGGTGTAGAGGGAGCAGTGGGTGGGAGAAAAGTTCCCTGTGGTCGAGGTCTGGCTTTTCCTGGGGAGGGACCTAGCTCACTCCAGAACAGCATTTATAGAGCTCAGTTTCACTATCAACTCTCTCCCTGTCGTTTGGCTTGTACCCTGCCTCCTTCTTAATTCTCAGGATTTCCTGCAGGCCTGACGGGCTTACAAAGGCTTCCTGGGCAGCATTCTTCTAAAGCTCCCTTCCAGTCATCAGCTGGCATCAGGGCCCACCCTCCTACTTCAGTATTTCTCAAGACTCGGCAGCGATACACACAAGTGGTGATGGTCAGAGCTTGACCCAAAAAAAAGTGGCTATGGCCAGGACTGGACAAAGGCCTTG